TATAGCCAAGTAGTTTAGAAAGGAAAATGTTAACAGGTTCACCTGCTAGTAGACAATACCATAAATATTACCATAGAATCTGTTTACCAAGTGGTATCTTTTGGGCACTATATGTCATTGTTTATCATCTCATTTAATGCTCACAACCACATTAAAGGGTCATTAAACCTATTTTACAGATGAAAAGACAGGTTCAGCAATTTTTCCACCATCACCCAGCCAGGCCAGTAACTGGCAGGATCAACATTTGTATACAGATCTCTGATTTCAGGCCACATTCTCAGCTACCATGTGTACATTGTCCTCATTCCCCAGCCTAAGCAGTGCCTTTTGCACTCAATCCTGGTTATGTATAAGAGTTAACTGTTGATGTTTCTGTTTTAACCACAGACAGAGGTGGGAAGTCTAAGAAACTGAATGAGGTACAGAGAACCCAGGTCCAGCTCAAGTGGAGGAAGGCCACTGTGATTCCACAGAGAGCAACCAGTCAGCACTCAGCTCACAAGATTCCATCCCCACTTGGGATAGCCATGCCCATGGAGTAACTGGAGGTAGATAAGACACTCCTAGGCTGTTTATAATCTTGACAGGCACTAAACCAGGACACTTCTCAACCCTGACAAACCAAAATCTCACCTAGAAAAGATTGCATGACTCTTTGCTGTTCATGGCTCCTTGAGGAAGAAAGGACAAAATTTAGCAATGACTTTATTTACTCATTTATTTACACTCCACTGCTTTTCAGAATGAATTGGCAATTTAAAATTAAAAACCCAGAATCAATGAAACAATTATTAATGACAACAGCTGACACTTATTGAGCATAGATTATATATAAACATTAACATGTAATACTGTTTCATCCTCCTACCCTTCACAGCCTTTTGGGATAGGTACTACATTTATGGTACAGATTTTACAGATAGAAAAAGAAAACATAGGGAAGTTAGAATATTTCTCCACACTTGGTTACACAGCTAGTCAGTGGTGCAAGCAATTTTAAATCTGATAATCTGATTCCACAGGTGATGCTGACCACCAGGCTACCCTGCCTCATAGAACAAGGGTAAAAGAACAAGCACAGAGTTAAGATTCAAGGGGTGTTAACAACAGAAGGCACAGACAAGCAAAGTGGCTAAAACTGAAAACAAAACTTAATTTGAGTTCCCTACTCCTCAATCCTTAAAGAAAAAGATGAGGAATTAACCTCAGTAGGGTATCCTACTGTCCTGATTTTCATGGGGCTGAGGCGTTCCAATAACACAGGGCTTTCAATGCTAAAAGTGAGATGGCTGGATACCCTACTAATAAAGTTTCCTAACATTTGATTAGGCCTCAGATCGTGAAACACATACAAATTCTTTATGGTGTTTTCAGACCTATATTGGCTCCTTCAGCACCTCCTCCCACCATCATTAAAAATATTAAATAATTTTCTTATCATTCTGGTTGGGAAAGATGAAGGGGTTGTGGAGAAATGAAGCCTGTTAATTGCTGGGTTTCAATCATCACATCTATTAGTACGTTCAAGAGTCTGGGTAAGTGAGGCACACAAATGCTAGGTTAAATTTTGCTCTGCCAACTCCAGCTGTGCTTTAATTTCCTTTCCCAAGGTCATACAGGATTGCTTTCTTAAAAAAAAAAATATTTCCTACGTAACAAGCAGAGATTCAAGCCAGTCATTCTTAGAGAGCTTGGTAATGAATCCTGTCAGAACTCAAAGACGAAAACTAAACCAATGCTTCATAAAGCTGTTTGAAGCATCAGTTCTGAAATCAGCAATGAGCTTCATGAAGATGGGGACTGGATCTTATTTATTTTTGTTTCCTTCATAGCATTGCTTTGCAAATAAACATTATCTTAACCACAATCTTAATCTTAGCAAGTCAGAGCTAAAAAAAAACCCCTTAACTATTATTTGGTACAAATGTTTACCGGTGAGTAAACTGAGACTTGGAAAAGAAAATTTGTTAGTCAAAAAGCTGAGCTGGGACGAACTGAATTAAATGGGAAGTGACCTCTTCCTAATTAATGTGAAAAAAAAAAAAAACAACAACAACAAAAACCCAACTACCACCACAAGGCTGTAGGAAAGAAATGAGACATCATTAAAGGGATGGGGATTTTAACTATAATCCAGGTGATCTGCCAGGGGTCTTCAGAGATCTCAAGTGTAAGTGAAAAAAGAAAGCAAATAATTTAAAAATTCCATGCAAAATAAATGAGCAACTATGCAAGTGGAAAAGACAAAATATCTTTACCATGGGGAGAGGAGGAAATTTCTGCCATGGCATGTTGAAATTTTCAGAAAAACTGAAGAAATTTTAGACTAAATATTTTATAGATATTTTCCAGTCAATTAAAGTTTCTATTTAGATTTAAGGCCAATTTTTTTTTCTTAATATAACAGAAATATGACATGATTGCATTCAACCAAGATCCCTGACCACCTACTATAGGCCAGTCACTGTGTGAGGTCATCAGACCTACAAAACAATGCCATGTTTTCAAGCAAGAAAGAGTGAAGCCAAGGAAAAGGTGAGTCAGCCTCCTAACAATATGTACCATCATTCAAACATTCAAAATGTCAAGACCTGACAGAAAAATTCCAGTGAAAATCTCCAAGCATCAATCCAATTCCTCTACTCAATGCATAACGAAATCAATTGATGAATCAGCCAAGTGTTTTCAAGCATCTGTCACCTGCTCAGAAGAATAAGCCTTTCTTTAAGTACAAAATGTAGGTAAGAGAATAAGAGACAGATAGGCAGACAGGCAGATAGATAGATAGGTAGATAGGTAGGGAGGCAGTTAAACAGATAGATTAAGGAAAATAATAATGGAGGTGGTATAAAGTATAGCCAAGTAACTTGGGCAGGCCCAATCATTTTAGATTGGAAAGGCTTAAGTGGAGGGACCTAAACTGGCTGTGAGGCATTTGATGAGCAGAGTGTAAGTATGTTAGAAACTCACTTATGTGAGAAACAGTGATGGCAATGGCACCAGGATGGAAGGGGCTAAAGTGTGCTCAGATGACAGGGAACAAAACTGTGTGGCTGGAGCAGAGGGTTCAGGTGGGAAGCTCTCACTGACAATAAAAGAGAAAAGGCACACTAGAACTAGCCTGCAGAAGAGTCCTCTATTCCAAGATTAGGAGTCTGGTGAAAGCACTACACAGCTGTCTAAGTTGCCCCTTTTTCAAACCCTTTTTTTCGAAAGAGGTATAATTTGATCCTTCAAATTTGTTATGGCTAAATGTAAGCAGATCAGCTTTAAAGTTACATGATTTTTAAAATATCTCTGTGCATTCACAGTTTGCCAGTGGAATCTGAAGACCAAAAACAAGTGAGCAGATGTCTGCAGACCTGAAGACTAAGCTGAGGTTCCCCAGCAGTCATTTTCCAAGGAATCTGAGCAAAACACACTTTCTTTTGCCTGAATGGAGACAGCATCTACAAAATTCCTTGTAGTTCTTTAATTAAAAAAAAAAAAATAGCAAAACAGAGCTGAAGCTATTCTAAAGTACAGCTTACACAAATACTTCAGCATATTTGAAGAAAAACAGATAAATAAAAACAGTAGAATGAAAAGAATAATTGAACATATATTTATTGTTCACTTAGAAAAATTTTATCCATCTTAAAACTTTTTCCTTAAAATCATGTTAGGAATCCTTCATAATCATGAATATATTCTTATTTAAAGAAAGTATGAAGTTCTTAGAAATAATTGAGCACTAACCACTTACAAGGACTGTTTTTCTTTTACCATTTTTTGGTCACTCAAGCATTCTGTTTTAGAATGGCTGCTTTGCAGCGATATCTCATCATAGGTAACTGAGTTGCTCTCCAGAATATACTTGCAAAGTAACATCCTAGTATTTACACTAATATCCAGGCAGTCAAGGGAAAGACCCTTTTGTTTGGTTAGTGTTTCTAAATTCCAAGGGGTTTGTGTGTGTTTAGGGTGTCCTACTATTCTTTTTTTAATGCTCACATAAAGCAATTACTAAAAAAAGAGCTTATGACTTGGACATGCCCCGAGTTCAATTCTTCCAGGAGTGGTAAAAACAGTCAACAGAGCCCTAACCTCCTTTCTATCTTGACCATACAATAGTTTTCAAAGAGGTTTAGTCCTACTATGAAAGACTTATGTTAGACATTGGAAGGGTCTCATAGAGAATGAGCACCAGGCCTTGAATAAACAAGAGAGATGGTGACCTTTTGCTCCTTTCTGCTGAAAGCCCAGCACATCCTGTAGCAGAGGACCAGAAAAAAAGTTGATGTGCAACCAGGTGCTGCAAAATCCTTGCCTCTGGGTTTCTGCCACACTTTGTTCCTTAAACAGTCTAAACCTCGACATGACTTAAATAGTATTAGGGAGTGAGAGAAAAGTACAATTCCTGGAACCAACTGTTCCACTGTCCCTTATTCCTTTGTTCCCCATATTGTTTGAGTCCTGAAGCATGCAGCACACGTTTCACTAGCAACAGGCAAGACAATGGATCTAGCAGTAGCTGGACAATTAGTCCCAATTAGGCCTATTTCCCAGCTGAATGTAAAGGGGTAGTGGGGTGAGGTGTGGGAAAAAAAAATCTACAGAAATTTTAAAGAAATATTTCAGAATGAAGGCTAGCAATACAATGCAAAGCAAATTGAACTAGGGGTCAGGAATCTCAGGCAAATTTGCTGTGTGGCATTGCAAATACTTTAACCTCTCTGTTCTTTCCTGTTCTTATCTATAAATATGAGCAACCAACCGCCAGCCCTCAGAGGCTCTGAAGATCTGATGTCAAATTGTGGTTGAAAGTGCTCTGAAATCTTGCAATGCTACACAGACATATGGGATTCCTCCTGAGCTGTATTTGAAACCACAGATACCCATCTGATTTGTAAATCATTTACCTTTTATTCTCCCTAGCAGAAGTCTGTAGTTAATGCTTTTCTTTTTTTTCTACTTTCTTGATTGCTAATTTTGTTAAGTTCATGAGCAATACTTACATATGTACATGTGGAGGCTGGAATCTGCTCTGGTTGATGTTGTAGTGTGTGAATGCCTGGGTGGGGTTTGAGCTGTACTCATCCACCGTTACAGTAACTTTGCCTTGAGAAGGAATCCCATGTGCCATCCTTCCTCCCTATAGGCATGAGCAATTCACAACTTTACAGAGCAAAAGATGGAAGCAGGCATGGTGCGTTTCAGCCAACCTCTGAATCCAAGGATCTACTCATCAATACCGCTGTGCATTTCTGAAAGAAAAAAAAATACATGTATAAAATAAGAACAAAGAGAAAGAGGGTGTTCTGAGAGACATTAAATTTGACATCTAGATGTGAAACTAGTTTAGGGAAAATCTGAATATGTGTTGTTGGCTTGTGGATACAACTGTTCCCAACTCTCTTCCCTTCGTGCACTTCAAAGCAGATATTACACTCTATACATCATTGCCGGGTGCTAGCAAATCATCTCAATGGACTTCAAACTAAGATTTCCTCTTTAATTATAATTATGGCACTTAACGTGAATTACGGAACGGGCATACCCACAGTTGCCATGGTATCTGACTATACATGGTTTGTGCTCAAAGTGAAGAATCTTCCAAACCTTCCCTGCTAATTGGAATGTTTGGTTTTTACAAAGTTGGTGTCACATAATGATTTGAAAGCTCCATGTTTAAAACAGCCATATAACACAACGACAGATAAGAACTTAAAATGTCGTGCGTATAACAAATACACGTGTATAACTATTATACGCACATAATACCCACGCGTGACACATATTTTCTTCTCTCACAAGCAGCTCCCAAAATACATAGGTAGGCAATGCTTGGCATTTCTCTCTGGCCCAGAACCTTATGGTAAGGCAAATCCTTCTTGTTAAATGTAGTGTCATTTCTTTCAACACTCCAGTCACTCTGGGAAAAGCCAAACGACTCCAAGTCTGGACCACCACTTTGAATGTATTCATTACCTCCCCTCTTCAAGCCCCAATGGAGCGGTAAAGGAGGGCGGCCGTTACATCTGCCACCTCATTCTTGGTGCAACATAATTCTCAGTAGTTGGTTTCATTTTTTAAAAAATTCCATTAGTTCTGATTTTTTTTCCATAAATGTCAATATATTATTTGCTACACTGGGTTGAGAAATGAAGATATCTATTTTTATGGTAGGTGTGCAAAGGCTGAGGAAAGCAAATTCTCATGTCCAAGTTCTTGAAATTGATCAGTGCGGTAGACAAGAAGCCGTAGTACACTCCTTGAATAACCCTTAGGTAATCCATGCTCTTACTTTAAGTGCCCCAAATCAGAAGAGGTTTGCCGTGTGCACCATTAAGCTCTGAGAATCTTAGCTGCTATTTCAAATAAAAATATTTAGAATAATAAAATTAGATTTAAATTTGGCATGAAACATCTTAAATATCGAGCAAAAGGCAGATGGCCTGCCATAGGCCATTTATTTTATTATTTTACAACCTGGGGCTTGTGTAGTCCTCCATATGCTAGCTGGGCTAAGAAATTCCAGAGTGTTCTACTCAAATCATTGCCTCCTTCCTATTCGCAAAGCAAGCTAAATCACACCCACCTTGCCTGCCTTCCTAATGCACAAGCACACTGCCAAGAGATGAATCCCCGTGCTCTGGCATTTTGAACAAAGTGTCACTTTGGGTTCTCCTTCTTTTTCATGACTTCATGGGAGGTATGCGTCTTTTAAGGGCTAGATGATAGACAACCAGGCTGGCAGGATTAACTAAATTAAAATCTTTTCCTGCTCTTCTGATGTAAGATATCTATAAGAACTGCTTACAAATCATAATGTAGCAGTTTTCATACCAAGTTTGCAGCTGTTTCCTTAATTTCCCCCACAATTATATTTTACTGTTATTTTGCATAACAGTAAAACACAACACCTGCTTCAAATTGCAGTCCTGTTCTAAGTACTGTAATTCTCTTTTGAGACACAAAGTACCGAGACACTACTGAAGCGCAAAACTGCATAATTGCGTGGCGCTGAAAAGTAAATACAAATGAAAACATCTTCCTGTTATAGAAATGACTGTCATTAAAAAGAATGTTAGCTATCAAAGCACAGAGGGGGAAAAATACACATTTTCAGACTGTGAGAACTTAGTGTTTGCATAAATTAGAGAGTGGTGTAAAAATTACTTGACAATTCTTATGTTCCTTCTTCCATTAATGTCTATTGTGTGAAATACTGAACATTGAGAAGCAAAGGAAATAAAATTCACGTCTAGACCACTGTGACCTCTGAGTAACCATCACTGCACCCAGTGCTAGAAACACTTTAAATATTTCTGGAGTAAACACTCTAATTAAAACAAGCAAATGTGGCCTAGAAATAAAATATACATACCTAATATTTAAACATCTATGCAATGACTTGTAGCAGTTAGCATGATACCCACCCAAGTTCTACTATTTGAAGCTAAGAAAAGACAGAACTTAGCAGCTGATCAATTTGCACTCCTAGATGATCCGCTTGATCCTAAAGTCATCCTTCTCTATCAGTGAACATCTATGCCTCTTTGCACCTTTGCCTCAGTAAGACAAATAGAACATCTTTTCATCAGCAAGCACAGGCCCCTGTAACTCTGAAAGGCTAAATGGGTGGCTGGCACCTCATTTGAATTCATCTTTGCCATGTTCCCTTTCAAATGTTTTATCGAAACAGTGCACCTGCAGCGTCTATCTTCTTTAATCTGGAGTCCTTTGAAGAAAATGTCAGACTGAGGCAGAGAGCTTCAAAACTTTCCCAGCACCTTTACAGACAAGTCAAGAAAAGGCTTATTTTTTTAAAATGCTATGTTCACTCCCACCCATATCTCAAAATGAACATATTCTAAGAATTTTAAACACAAACACCTGGAAAAGACTTTTTTTTTTTTTTTTTTTGTAAACTCTCAGGACAAGGGACAATGGACAACAATGGACAAAACCACCTCCTATAACCTGAGAAATTTGGAGAGAGCATGAAAGAAGACAGAAAGATACACTGCCTAAAACTACCAAGAAGCTGTATATTTAAGCAGTAAAACTTTCCAAATGATCAGATTTTGGTGCATCTCACCCTCTTCACACTTACTTTAACTTTTTACACAAAATATTTAAAGAGAGCACTATTCTTTTCACAAATTTTCATTTTATACTTCAATACACTTGCTCCACAAAACAAAGAAACCCACTACGAAATATCAAGAAGCCTAAAGAAAATCTAAAAGGGGCTGACACTGCCAAATAGTCATGCTGGTACTAGTTTCATTTTTCTCTTTAAAAAAAAAATCATGTGAATACATTTTGCATTTCCTAGACAGCAATCACTTCTGTCCTTTAAACTGTACAACTAGCAATGTTCTTTTTCAGGAATCTGGTTGGAAAACCTTTTAAAGTCGGTTGGCAATGAAGGGATTAAAAGCTGAGGAATTAAATAACTGTCTCCACCTCCTAGACACCAAAAGTCCAATTTACCAAACTTTCAAAGCAACAACTCATGACCTCTCTATCCGTGCACTGCCCAGCACAGCCTATGAGGAAAGAGCCCGCGGTTTCCTCGTTTCAACAAGGATGCTCATTTTAATCACTTGTCCCAAGATCTTCCGACCGAGCCTGGCGGGACTTGGGAACTTGCCTGCTCCAAATCCGCCAAATTTCACTCTCTCCTCCCTCTGCCGCGCTGATCCAGTGCGTTCTTAACTCACGCCCCTACTCTTTTATGCCCACTTCCAGTGACTGATCCCTCTATCTAGGAGATGCCCACACGCCTTTCCGGAGGGCTTCTCCGCCAGGGGTTTTTGGGGGGGATGCTGACATAAAGTTCCACGTGCTCTGTCCACCAAGCGCCCTCCCTCCCATCGCACTTACACCTGAACTTGTCTCCAGCACTGCGGACACCCGGCTGACACATTCTTTCGGAGAGGGAGGGCAAGACTTTTCTCCCGAGCCTCTGGTAACTCGTGGAGTCTATATAAGGTGGGGCGGTGGGGGGCGCGTAATTCTCTACTTTGGATTGGTTTGTTTGTTTTAAATCTAGGGTGGGCAGTTGCGGGGTGGGGGTGCTTCATCAACTACACCACACACACACACACACACACACACACACACACACACACACACTCGCCCTGCCCTTCCAGGCTCACGGCCGGCTCTTCTCGGTTACAACTCCCCCTTTCTTCCTGGAGCACCAGAGCCTTGCTCGCTCAGTCCCCCGTCGCCACCTCCGTCCCCTCCGCAGCCGCCGCTCCAGCCGGCCCTGCCGGCGCTAGCGCTCGCGGCCCCGGGCTCCGCTGGACGCCCGTCTTTTTCCTCTCCCTCTTCCCTAGCTCTGGATTGATTGATGACCACCGGCGGCCAATGGCTCTGACACTACGCCATCCTCGGTCGGGCATCACAGCCCCATGTCCCCGACGTCAGCCTCCTGGGCGCGTTGGCATCCCCGAACCCACAGCGTGGAGCCCGAGCCCCGGGCCGCCGCCGCCTCCCAGCTCTCTGCCAGGGCGCTGCCAGGCTCCTTCCCTGGAGCGGCGGAGAAAGGAAGGGAGGGAGCCAGCGAGCGTTGGAAGTGGGTGTGGGGCCCACGGGGTCTCCCCTTCTTTTGAAATCTTTTTTCACTTAAACTTTTGCTTGTTTCCCCCCGCCCCCGACCTGTTTGTGTTTGTTTGCAGCATATCAAATCAATTACACATTTTTCATGACCCGCATTTGCACTTAATTTGGGGGGTGTGTGTTGGGGGGCTGGTGATGTACTATAAATCAACTCCACTGAGGCATCCTTAATTTATTTTCTTGCTGATGGATTCCAACCCGCTCTCGAGCCTCTAGAAAAATGCCCCCTTCACCTCCTAGGCCGCAAAACCCCGGAATTCAAAGGCTTTACAAAGATAACCTTGTTAAATGTAAATAGCAAAGAAACTCCTGCCTCTGTAAAGAGAAGAAATCCAGCGGCAACGGTTACTTTTCCTCTCCCAGCCCCGACCCCGGCTCGGGTCGCCGGGTCGCCCCGTAGGCTGAGAGCGCGGAGACCCAGGCAGCGGCGGAGAGTGAGGTTGGGGCGCGGGGACCGGGTGAGAAAGAGCCCGGAGCGAGAGCGGCGCGCGCGGGCGGCCCCGGGGACGGCCGCGGGGCGCAGCCGGAGCACAAAGCTGCGCGGCGCCTTCCCCCCGTCACTGCACCTGGCCTCGGGCCGCCGCGGGAGCCCAGGGATCCGGCCAACACAATGCGCCCGGGCCTAGGCCGGGGCGGCTCGAACACAGCACCCCGGGACTTTCTAGTAAACAGCTCTCGGAACCCTCGTCCCCACCCCCATCCCAGCCGCCTGGCTTTCGCCGCAGCTTCTCGCCTATACCCCCTCCTCTCCTCCTAAGAAATCCCGGCGGAGGAGGGGGCGAAAAGGTGGGGACCCCCAGAGGTCGGAGGCCGATAGCTGGCAGGGGTTGGGGAGAAGAGAAGGGGCGCAGGATGGAGAGTGGGAGGAAAGACAGCTCCTAAAAAAGAATTTGATTTTGGTCCGGGGTTGAAAATCAGCCCACCCCGGGCGCCGAATTGCCCGGGAGGCGCCCGCTCGAGCGGACGTCAGGGGCAGCGGGGCAGCTCGGGTTCACAGCCTCCGAGCCCCTCGCACGCGCCTCTGACAAGGCACCTCTCACCCGGGCTCCGCTTTGTGTGTGCATTTTTTTTTCCCTTCCCCTCGCGCTCGGCACCGGGCTCCCGGCCGCCTCCTCCCCCTCCCCCGCCCTCCGCCTCCCTTCCCGGGGCGGATTACCTTTCCCGGGCTGCGCTGCGGGTCCCGGGGATGCCTTCAGCGCCCGGCGAGCAGGCGATCCATCGCCGAGCGACCCGAGCCGGCCGGAGGAGCGCTGGGGGCGCGCGGGGGCGGCGAGGGGCGCGGGCGGGCCAGAACCTTCGACCCCGGAGGTCCCGCCGCGGGCTGGGGCTGGGGGCCAGGGGGCGCGGCACTAGAGGGAGGCGGGGGGAGAAAGGACCCGAGCAGCCTCGATCTGGGGAGAGAGCAAGCGAGGGGGCGAGGAGAGGGAGCGAGGGCGCGGCGAGCCGAAGGGAGCGCGAGCGGTGCAGTGACAGGGACTGCCACTGGGGTCAAAGGAGCACAGCTCCAGGAAGCAGGGCGGCCGAGGCGCCGCTCCGTGCGCGCTCCCCGGCGGGACCCCGCGCCCCTGCACGCCCCTCCTGCAGTCCCTGCCCACTCGGACCCCCACCGGTGCCCCGAAACCCCAGGGTTTCAAGAGGAGGAGGGAGCCCAGGGCGAGGCCCGGCAGCCTGCTGGTGCTCCCGGGTCAAGCAGGCGGCAGGAAGCTGAGCTGCAAGTTCATCATCATGAGTGTGATCTGGGTAAAAAATGATAGGGGAAGGGAGGCGGGCTAAGGTGCCCTAGGAAAATAAGGGAGCTTTCCCTCAAATGGTGTTTTTCTGCAAAGAGAACACCCAGGTCCCCCCACCCACCGACCTGCCAGGCTCTGTCAGAAGTCCTGGCACCGTTCCAGGACGCAGGGCTCACCGCGGGGGTAAGGGGAGCGGCTGGGACATTTCACTCAGACCTAGGAAGGCGACCCTAGGTTCCCTCCCATCTGCTGAGGCTTTCCTTGGGGAGAGCTGTGCTCCTTTTACCCCAAGCCTTTCAACACGCCAGACACACACACACACACACACACACACACACACACACACACACACACACTCACCTCTTTCTCTCTGCAATGTTGTTGCTGAGAAAGAAAAGGCCAACCCAGCTGATCATTTTTTTCACCTCCGTGAATTAAGGCAGGTTCAGGACAGAAAGGTGAGGAGAGGCAAAGACTCTAATTGTTTCCATTTCCGTCTTTTGGATAAAATTTTCCTCAAAAGATAAGTACTTCAAAAGCATTTTAAAAAATTAAAGTTAGTCCAGTTTTGTCTGCTACTTTGAAAAATGGAAGAAACGGTTTTCAGAATTGTATGCAAACAGCACAAGGAAAGGAAATGCCGCTGAAATGCTGGAAGACAGAAGACAAGGGAGAGAAGGCTTTTAGAAAACTTGGTTGGCAGGATTGTCTCTGAAAGATGAGGTGGCCCTGTGATGTTATGTCATTGTCATTGCTGAAAGATTGGGACAGCAACCAGATCTAATTCCTTTCTAGGAGTCAGACTGAAAGATCTGTGCATTCTCCGAAGGGAAATCCAATGTATATGTGTGTGAGAGAGAAGTATGCTAAGTCTACTATGTGACAACTGACTAGACATCCTGGCTGAAATTATATCCCCTAAAAATAAAAAGAAGCCATTGCAACCTGGTCTATGGCCTCTGTGCTGAGACTAATTGGTTTCCAGGGTCTGGGGAGGAAGGGAGAGAGGCTTGTAGGAGCCCCTATAAAAAAAAGATCAAACGGAATTCACTTGAAAATATTTCCCTTTTACAATGGGCTTTCCTGGCACTTGAATTTTAAGTAACCCATCTCTTATGCCTAGGCTGAAATGAAAGGGGAAATGGTCTTACTAATGTATTTATTTTATTTTACAGCATGCCCAGAGTGTCGGTCCTTGTCAAATGTGCTGGAGTGGAAAGGACAGTGTCTTTCCTTGCCCAGCACAAATCAGAACAAGTGACATTGACATTAAAGGGTGCCAAAGATGGGGCGTAGGAACACCTTTAAATTTTGCTTTCTTTTGTCTTCTCACCCATCAGCACACGCTGACTAGAATCAGGTTTTTGAAGAAATGCTTGGTTTTGTTTCTCTTACTCTGTGACTGAGTAGTACATTCCTCATATCTAAATGGTTTGGATTTTTAGACTGATTTGGGCTGATTAAATCAGTTTTTTTTTTAAAGCATCAATAGCCAAATAATTTCTGTGGTTTCTTCCTTAAAAAAAGAAAGAAAGAAAGAAAACTAGCAGTCAAACAAAGCAGACAAACTAGTTTGAACATGATTCTGAATCTAAAAATGTGCACTTAGACGGTAAATAATCATGTGTTCTACTTGAGTGGCACATTTTACAGGATATTTAATGCCATAAAAAATCAAGTGAGTGATCCTTTACAAAGTTCATGAAAATTTGTATACCATTTTACCGAGTGGGGAAAATTGAGGTAAAAAGGCTTAAACTTGTAATTTGTAGGGCTAGAAGAAGTCAACTTGCTGATGGATCAATTATCCAATAGTGACCAAGGTATATTTGGATTATGAATTTTTATTTTCATTAGGCTACCAACAAGCTGGAGTTATGAAAATGAATTTAAATAATAAACCAGGAGCAAAAAGACACTCACCTTTCAAATAATTCTCTTTATGTGGATTTGAACATATTGCATTTTGTTAAATCATATTGTCCACAAATACAGCTACCTACACTAAACGCTTAATTTAAAATGATTGGATGTGAACCACATCTATCCCACCTCCCATATAAGCTTTGAAATGTCACCTCATTATAGCACATTTTAAATCCTATAAGCAGCAGCTTTTTAAAAGATAAATGAGTCTATAAGTTCCGTTTTTGTTGTTGTTGTTGTTAAATTCAGCTTGTATTGTGTATAATGGAAAAGAAAAGAAGGGTGAAAATCAAATGCTAAGTTTATGATTGGAGTCAAAGAAATATTACAATTTTTTTTATTTTAGTGGAATTCAAAGCTGGACCCTTTCCCCAATGATTTCATTGTAAGACCTGGTAAATATGCTTCCTGATAGCCCACTGCAATACCTTTTAAATTATCTTTCCAGAATGCATTTAAGAAAGAAAATGAGAAAGAGGAGTGTGGGAGAACTTTGGGTGGAAGCTTGGAAAGAAAATGATGCTTCCCTTGAAAGCTCAAATACTTTATTTGGAGTTGGCTTTCATCTTCCCTATGAGAACAGGTTTTCGTGTACTTCAGAGATGTGTACAGCTTAAAACTTGGTTCCATACTGTGATTCTTCTTCTCAAAAACAAATCATTGAAATTACTGCATTTTATTGAATAATTTCATTGAAATGATATATACCAGTTTAACTGTAGGAACAAACCTTAACTATTTTACTTCTTATTTTCTTTAAGTTGTAATCATTTTTATCCTTTCCCAGCAAAAGCTAAGATGTATATTATCAGAAATCAGAGGCTTTTAATAGAACTACCACCATGATGCAATTAGAAAATAAAACTGAACCCACAAACTATTTGTTTTCTGAATTCTCACAGTTCTTACATTTTTTTGACTTGTTTCATTCAAATGCTTTCATTGTAACCTCTCCAAGTTGAATAACAGTGTCCTGTATTTCTTTGGGTCCTTTATCTTTATGTTAGGAATAGTTGTTAAATGACTGTATGGGTCAATAAATGAGAAAGTAAAGAAGAAAACACATCCGTGAATGAGGCAAATACACAATGAAGGAAAATCCACACCAGATCTGCAGGAAAGGAAGTGATGTCATGAGGCAGTGTTATAGGATAAGAGCTAAGGACTTCCCAAGGAGTTAAAATAGCACATGTTAAAGGTCTTGCTAATGGCTTTAGAAACATGAAATAATCCCAAGACTGTTTCAAAGATTAATTTTCTTATAGAGACAAGGTTGTTACGTATCATGTCCATTTAAAGGTAGCCCTCCTTCTAAATACAGAATGCCACAATAAAAATAATTGTGAGTAAAACTTGTTCCTTAAAATTTACAGAGATGTACCAAGACATTCGCAAAAGAAACTTATATGATTAATCTAATTCTTTGATTGATTCTTTTTGAAATCCTCAAAATAAATACATGAATAATGTTGTTGTTTTTTAAAGTGTAGTACTTTATGTTTAAATTTTTCTTTGGTTAACCAGTAAAAATGTTTATGGGTTAAAAAAAAAAAAGAATCAGGAAGCACTAAAACTGATGAAATTTTATTTCATAAGGTAAATGTTATGCTCATTATCATCTTAGAAGGGCTAAATTTAATTCAGCTTTGCCTGCAGTTTAAGTAGCAAGCATTGGGAAAGAATCTTAAAATTTAGCAAAATACTCACAAATTCTTAACATGCTTACTAGCCAATATCTAGCATGTATTAAGAAATCAGATGAATATTATTTATGCAATAATTAATTTTAAAAGTCTGAAGCTGATACTGAGCCTGGATTCATGTATTCTTAGTGTTAGTAACCATCCTAACAGACATCTGTAATCACTGTGTTGACCTAGAAGGAATAGGCTAAGGCACAAAACATAATTTAAAGAGTTTGCTTTAGCCAAAGTGTGAGGACAACTTCCTGGAAGATTCACATCCAAGTAACATTGGATATGAGCTTCCTTTGGCCTTTGTTACAAACAAATTTTTAAAGACAAAAATGGGGGACAGGGAGTACCCTGACACGAAGTTTTCCGTAAAGAATTCTCATTGGTTTGCAGGAAAACATTGACTGGTGGTTGGCTGGACATTGTTAAGCTATAGGGTGTGAGTTATAGTTTCCACTGCAGCATTATTAGGTTAATTTATAGCTACTAGGGACAATAACAAGCTGTTTCAAGAGATGAATATGTAGCGCAAAAGGTGCAGGTTAGATTGGACTTACTGTCTCATTTTAATGTCTCTCTGGGCCTGATAATTTAAAAGGACCCACATTCCTCAAATAAAAGTTCTTTTCTCACTTTTAATCAATTAACACTTGCTGAGTCTTTCCCCAGATCATGGTCCCAATTATGGAAAAGTGGTAGCATCTAGTGGTACTTGGGCAGCCTTGTCAAGGTGAAAAAGAGCTTTCTCATTGAAGTAAATTCAAAATAATCTCTCTTGAAAGGCGCGGTGGCTCACGCCTGTAATTCCAGCACTTTGGGAGGCCAAGGCAGGCGGATCACAAGGTCAAGAGATCAAGACCATCCTGGTCAACACGGTGAAACCCCGTCTCTACCAAAAATACAAAAAAATCAGCTGGGCATGGTGGCACGTGCCTGTAATCCCAGCTACTCAGGAGGCTGAGGCAGGAGAATTGCCTGAACCCAGGAGGCGGAGGTTGCAGTGAGCCGAGATCGCACCATTGCACTCCAGCCTGGGTAACAAAAAAAAAAAAAAAAAAAGATGAGCGGTATAGAAACCCCATAAAAACCTGGTAAAGAAAAGGTATATGAGCATTTCG